CCCTTAGATCAAGGATAGGCAAATACCAGCCTGCGGGCAGGGGAGCCCCTGCTGGTCTGCGCTGCTTCCCACAGCCCCCGTTGGGAGTGAGCAGTGATCCGTGGCCAACAGGAGTTGCAGTCACCCTGCGGAGGCGCAGGTAAATATAGCGGCGGTGGCCCGCCGGGGGCTAACCTGGCGAACCGCCACCATTGTATCGCCCGCCTCTGTCTTAGATACTCTGCTGACTGCCACCAGGATCAGTGGATGAGAAGGAATGAAGAGATCTTTGGGTGTGTGGGGGAGTGAGGGGAAACCGTCCATACAGCCCCCAAAGCTGCATCTGTGACTCATCGGCCTTTCTCAGAGGCGATGTAACACAGCCCGGGGAGCACGAGACAGGAGCGCTCGCTTTTTTCATTCTTGGTCGATTATTTTTACCTTGGACTTGGCAAAGGCCAAGCCAGGCATTAAATAAGTGGAACTGCCGCTGCAGGAAGATAAATGAACTGTTGCTCTCTCTACTCTGCATGTGGAAAGAACATGCTCAGGTTTTCCCCAAACCTTTTTCACTCAAGGTCTTCCCCCACTTCATTCCTCCATTTCCTCTGCCCTTTTTTCAAACCAGTGCTTGTCTTGGGGGAGGCTGGCATCTTTCTGTTCTGGGTGCACAAAGTCAGAGTCTGAGAAATCCTTCTGAGTAGTTTTGTGACTTAACTGATACTACTGGGAACGCCGCACTGTGCTGGCTAATGGATGCCAGAGCCTGCAGGCTCCCCTGGTCGAGGGGCAGGCAGGGCCATGGAGGTGCACAAGGCGACCCCCTCACAAAGAGGGCAGCACAAACCTCACTTTGATATTCTCGCTCCAACAGCACAGCCCGTTCTTTGCTGAGCAGCTGACCGCGTTCCAGGTGTGGCTGACGATGGGAGTGGAGAATCGCAACCCACCCGAACAGCTGCCAATCGTCCTGCAGGTAAGTCGCCTTGGTGAGGGCTGGGTGGGAGGCAGAGCTCGCTGGCACTGCTGAGTGTCATGGGCATTCAGCCACCAGCCGGCTCTGTGTGTGTATTTACGCACTCGTCTTTCCCTGCCCGTGGAGTGCCGTGCTCTCAGCCAGATGGTGTTTGGGTACATACATTCCGGGGGCTCATTCAGGACTAATTGGGCCTGATTGTGTGTTTGCTAGACCCTTGCTGATAAAGACACATTTGTCTTCCCTTTCCCCCCACCTCTGCACTTTCAGTTAAGCATAAATTCTTGCTGTAATCTATTAGTCACTTCAACAGCAGCAAACTGCCTCGCCCACTCTAGTTTTTCAGAGGCTGGTGCAGTCGCTGGCTTGCTTGCTCCCTGGCCTCCCATCTTACCTGCTAGCTCTGGGAGGCAGGGACTTTGTCTTCTTTTTAGTTCGCAAAGCGGGCGCTGCTACAGTTTAAGGGACTAGTGAGAGGGAGAAAGTGAATAAGGAAAAGTTATTTGCTTGTTCCCGTAATATAAGAACTAGGGGCCACCAAATGAAATTAATGGGCATCAGGTTTTTTTAAAAAAAGAAAGTTCTTCTTCACACAGCGCATAGTCAACCTGTGGAACTCCTTGCCTGAGGAGGTTGTGAAGGCCAGGACTATAACAGGGTTTAAAGGAGAACTGGATAAATTCATGGAGGTTAAGTCCATCAATGGCTATTAGCCAGTATGGGTAAGGAATGGTGTCCCTAGCCCTGTTTGTCAGAGGGTGGAGATGGATGGCAAGAGAGAGATGGCTTGATCATTCCCTGTTCGGTTCACTCCCTCTGGGGCGCCTGGCATGGGCCACTGTGGGCAGACAGGACCCTGGGCTGGCTGGACCTTTGGTCTGACCCAGTCTGGCCATCCTTAAGACTAGTGAATGTTTCCCATCTCCGAGCCCTGGCGGAGGAAATGGACCTGGTGCGGTTAAGAAAGTGCTCAGAGTATCACGTGGATCGGGAGGCAGCCCAGACAGCTGCTGCTCTGCACTCCTTCCTGTCTGCGTGGGGTGCTCTGAGGTCATCCGTAGCAAGCTGGACCTTTGGTCTGACCCAGTCTGGCCATCCTTAAGACTAGTGAATGTTTCCCATCTCCGAGCCCTGGCGGAGGAAATGGACCTGGTGCGGTTAAGAAAGTGCTCAGAGTATCACGTGGATCGGGAGGCAGCCCAGACAGCTGCTGCTCTGCACTCCTTCCTGTCTGCGTGGGGTGCTCTGAGGTCATCCGTAGCAAGGGGTCCCAAACTCACTTTACCTTAGGGTAAGAGCCGGTCCTCAGCTCCTCCC